TTTTAATGAAATGAGAAAATAGCAAAATCCAACTGGCTACTATTATGAGAATAATCTGAGAAAGCATATGGAAAGTCACTTCTGTTTTCCAGTATGCTGGTAAAAATTGGATTGCCATTTTATTGTTTCAGTATTTCCTCCTAAACTGATAAAATGAAATAAAAATGTGTGTCTGTTAAATCTCCCTCTCCATCCCTCTATACAGCAGGCTTCAACAAACACAGTTACTGTTTAATGACGTGTGTTTAACTGGTGTGTATGGGCTAAGAAAACCAAAAGTATTCTTCAGCTGATGCCTTAACTCCATTCTATAAATATGAAAACACTAAAACATGCCTCAAAGTGTGTGGCTATGGCTTTGGTATGCACACCCTATCTGGGGTCTTTTAAGTCTCATTTTATGATCCCCTGTCACCAGTTCACCACTACACACGGGTGATTGTTCACTCACAGGTGCAGCATTGCAGGAAGGACCCCGTTACAATCAATACTGAACATAATAGGACACATCACTGCATGCGATAGCCATACACTTACAATCCTGGAGTGGATTCTACTAATTGTCCCCATTGATAATTTTAATTTAAGAGTAAATATTCTCAGCCTCTCTCTTCCTGTGGCTAAAAATGAGCAAGAGCATCTCGTGTTTTCTTTTGGAATTGCTCATCACAAGATTGAATCTGTATTTAAAGATTCAAATTCATGGAGATATCTTTTTTCTCTCTGATTTGTTTCTTAGATCATGTGTTTGCTAAATCCTCATTTGTGATTTCTAACTTGTAGCACTAATGGCATCGACTTGGAATTCTGCACGAAATCATCTCCACACAGCATGTAATTTACTATGCAGTGTTTATGTGAGCGCTTCATCACCTTTCATTTTCTGTTCTATGTATCTCTAAATGGTAAAGTAAGTTGAGAAAGAACGTTTATTTCTTTTCAATTAAAAGTTCATTATTAAAAGACTGGTGAACATAGTGAATGCTTTTTATAGTGAATTTAAGATGTGGTATCAAAAATATTCTTTAGAGGTAGCCTTAACCCACAGTTCCTACAAGGCTAGCATTACATAGTCCTCAAAGCAAATCTGTGGTACAAGTTTTGTGAATTTTAACATGTTTATGAAGAAACTGAGCTCCAGAGAAATGGATTAATACACTCAATATCTTGTAATTAGCTTTCAGATCTTAGTACATATTGCATACCTTGTACACATTTTAGTGCAAACTTTAAATGTGTGTGTGTGTGTGTGTGTGTGTGTGTGTGTATTAGTGGTTTTTAAACTATGCCATACATAAAAATTATCCCAGCAGCTTTTTCAAACATAGATTTCTTGGCACTGTGCTCAAACATGCAGATTCACGGTGGAACTTTGTCTTTCCTTTCCCAACAATTCTACAGACGATATGAATCCAACCACCCCAAATTCCACAGACAGAGATCTCTTGAATGTCCCACACTGAATCCCTCGTAAGGATAAACAAAGGCACCAGAGCATGCACATGCATGGCATTGGCTACTCACACTTTGGTAACATTAAACACCACTCCGTTGTGGAATTGATACCAGTCTGTCAGCCCACATATTGTGTCTAATACTAATTCCCAGCCTTCCATTCTTTACAAAAACATGTTTGTTTCTGAAAAGCCTTAGTGTCATATGTCTCTGTTTTTAATTCTTGTTCTGGAAGTTATGCCAGTTTGGGGTAGAGCAAACCTGTAGGTGGCTTCAAAAGGATAATATTAATAATATTAATGCTAGATAAGCATTTTGTTCAATTGGACTGCAAGTACTAGCATGGTCCTAGGAGATTACTTCACCTGGGCATTATAGCTACCTTACTTTGTATAACTATAATCTAGGGTGTTCACACACCAACTGCAAACACCCAATACCACACTTTTGAGAACCTGTCTTCCACAAAGCAAAGCACAGTGCTGCACAAGGTAATCGAGACGCAGCAGCTGCCCCATTAGCAGTTACTTTCCTTCCTTTCACAGACTATTTCCACTAGGAAAAGATCGAGAAATGGTCTAAATGAATTGATGGCACATATGTGTAGATCAGCGCCAATGCAGGGAAAAGAAGACAAAGTGAGACTCCATGGCTTATATATTGACAAATGTCTTGTTTTATTCAATGAGAAGTTCAATTAATTTTATAATAAAAGTGAAAACATTTCCTGACAACTTCTCTCACTAATAGCTCCAGTGAAGTGATTAGAGGCCATTATATTCTCCTGAAATAGTCACTTCCTAGCAAGAACTCATTAAGCATTTTAAACTGTGGGACACAATTATAGAGAATAAAAAACCTTAATTGTTAAAAATAATTATTATTCCTGAGCTGATGGAATTAATTTTTCAATATGTTGATATATAAAACTCTCTAAGAGCTTATAATTTTTAACCAAGGTTCCCTCTTCCTTGATCTTTAAAATTACCTATCTCTCTACATTTTACTGTTTCATTAATTTTTAGTAGAACTTGGTGGGATGTAGGCTTGTCTCCTGCTAAATGAAACTATGAACCAAATTAGTTTAGAAGAAAGATCATGGAATTATTTGTATGAGTGCTATTAAAATAGGATCTATTCTTTAGACTTGGGTCATATTAATAGCACCAAAGATCCTGTCAACAATCATGAAAAATATGTTCATGTTAAAACAGCCTCAAGTGCTTAATACCCTTTGATTCTTTTTTGTTATTTTGTCTTTTTTTTCCCCCTAGAGCTGAGGACTGAATCCAGGGCCTTGCTCTACCACTGAGCTAAATCCCCAACCCCAATATCCCTTTGATTCTATGGAGATACCTCCTGGTTAATGATTGATAATTTGGAATCTCAAGTTTCACATGTAAGTTCCTCTAAAATGAACCTGATCTTATGCACATTAGAAGCTATCTTCAGGGGGCTGGAGAGATGGCTCATAGTGAAGAATAATCTGTGTTCTTCAGACTGGTGTGGGATGTATCTGTGCCTAGGGAGTCTGCTGAACTTGCAGGGCAGGGCTGGCCACAGTGAGGGTGATGAGCTGGGTGGCTTGGGTGGTCGAGTGGGTCATGGGGCAGCAGAATCCAGTTGGTGGTTGCGCTCTAGGCTGGCTTGGTGAGGCCTGTACCAGAGCAGTGGAGGGAACATGAGGGCTTGGTTTGGGGAGGGGCTTTGAATGGGGGGGGGGGAGAATAAGTCACCACCATGACAAGCCGCATGTGAAGATGCCGGTAAGCCACGAGTCATGTGGCAAGGTATAGATTTATAGAAATGGGTTAATTTAAGATTAACCCATTTAAAAACAGTTAGCAAGAAGCCTGCCACAGCCATACAGTTTGTAAGCAATATAAGTCTCTGCGTTTACTTGGTTGGGTCTGAGCGGCTGTGGGACTGGCGGGTGAGAGAGATTTGTCCTGACTGTGGGCCAGGCAGGAAAACTCTAGCTACAGGGGAGGGTATATTGGGGCCAGGTAGAAATCTGGTGCAAGGGAAACTCCCATGAATCTACAAGAATGACCCCAGCTAAGACTCCTAGCAATAATGGATAGGTAGCCTGAATTGGCCTTCTGTAATCATATTAGTAACTAACCCACTTTTCATCAGAGAGTTTTTATCCAGGGACTGATGGAAATAGATGCAGAGAGCCACAGCCAAGCCCTGGCCTCGGGGAATCCTGTTGAAGAGAGGAAGAAGGAAGGATTGTAGGAGCCAGGGAGGATCAAGGTCATCACAAGGGAACCCACAGAAACAACTAACCTGGGCTCATAGGAGTTCACAGACTCTGGACTGACAGCTAGGGATCCTGCATGGGACTTACCTAGGCCCTCTGCATATGTGTGACAATTGTGCACATTGATCTACTTGTGGGATTCCTAGTGGTGGGAACAGTGCCTGTCCCTAAGGCTTTGTCTGATTTCCAGGAACCCAGTCCTCCCACTGCCTTGCCTTGCCCAGCTTTACCACAAGGGGAGGAGCTTAGTCATAGCTCAACTTGATTTGTTATGCTTTGTTGACACCCCTGGGAGGCCTGCCCTTTCTGGACAGAACCAGAGGAAGAGTGGGGGTGGATAAGGGGAGGTGTGTGTAGTGAATAGGTGGAGGGGAGGCAGGGGAAACTGCAGTCGGGATTTAAAATAAATGAACAAATTTAATTAATAGTAATAAAAGAATAATTGCTGCTCTTGCTGAAGACTGGAGTTTACTTTCTACAACCTACCTCAGATAGCTAGCTTACAACCACACAAGTGCCTAAAACCCCAGTTCCCTCAACCACCCTCTTCTGAATTACATGGGCACCCACATACACATGTAAATGCACATGATACACACACACACACACACACACACACACACACACACACACACACACCACATAAAATAATAGAGTTATAAATAAATATTTAATAACAGAGTTATTATTAAGAGAATAGACACACTGATAACAGACAGACTTGTAACAGCTTTGCAGTGGAACATGAGTATGTTTTGAGATACTACTGTCTCATTTTTACTGGCAGGCTAGTAACAACGTTTACTATTTATTAAAATTAATTTAACTGTTGAATTATGATTTTCTATGCATATACCTTAACTTTCTTTTTTTGTTTGTTTATTTGTTTTTTGAGACAGGGTTTTTCTGTGTAGCTTTGTGTCTTTCCTAGAACTTACTCTGTAGCCCAGGCTGGCCTTGAACTCACAGAGATCCACCTGGCTCTGCCTCCCAAGTGCTGGGATTAAAGGTGTGCACCACCACCGCCCGGCCACCGTAACTTTCAATAAAAATTTACTGTTGTTGATCATGGTCCTAACTCAGTTTTCTTCTGTACTCCAACATTCCCTATTTGTGGAGTAGTAAGTAGCAGAAATAAATAAGATTATTTACTTCCGAAAAACTTTTACTTTGGGTCTGGTGTTCAGAACAGCATTTGAAAGACAACATTTGTTCTTGAACAAAATATTTGTATTTCATGGTCTGTATAAATACACATTTCAAGAGATTGTAAACTTACCCACATTTTAAGCTGGTTCTTGGTTTCCATTTCTTTACACAAGCCTCAAATCATTCCTGGATAAAAATCAGTAAACTAAATTCAGAGGCATGATCCAGGATGAGATAAAAGCCGCCATCTTCTAGATTTATTTATGTTGTTACTATGCTCAAACTACATCTTTCAGCTTCTAAAGACTTTAGAATAATTTGTTTTCTCTAAACCAATTTGTATCATGTCAAAGTGAAATTGCAATTTTACAGCCACCTGGGGGAAGAAGTGATCCCCTTCCATAAATATAAAAGTAATCTGCATAAAATATGTACAGAGATAACCATGAAGACTTTGAAAGTGTTCTGTATGATGAGGAGGTGTGCAAAAACAAGCAGTGATCGATTACGGGAAACCGCTACAAAGTAACTGCGTTGGGTGTGTTCTAATTTGTTAGTAAATTAATATCACCACCGAGAACGGGTTTGTACAAATATTCTTTTGGGGTTGGGTCCAGAATCTGAGACAACTACATTTCACCACTGAGTCCCATGGCCCAAAATGAAATCTTAAGAGACATAGTGCATATGAATAATGTGGTATTTGGAAGGCCCAGTGTATGGAACTCACAAATCCTGAGCTATCTTGCTTTATGCTAGTTATCAAAGACTATGTATATATTAATAAAGACATAAACACTAGATGTATATCTTTCTTATTTACTTCACATGAAGGCAACAGAAGTGGAATAGATAAAGGAAGAATAAACACCTTCTTATTGACAAATAGGCAACAGACCATGGAAAACATTTCAGATAACACCAAACAAGAACGAGGAAAACATATTACTGTTCCCAAATAAGTTTCACAAATGCTTTACAATAATTGGGGTTTAGATTGCCAGTGAAAACCTGAATTTTATGCTAGCAAATAACAGAGTCTTTCTTTATACTCTGGATGATTCCTTCATCCTATTCCATCTTCCCATGTCATGGAGGAGGGAAAGATGATGGCTCTGAATCCAAGGTTGACTTGAGTGTGATTACACAAACACCTTGAGTGATTCTAGCCTCATTTAGCATCCGTCTCTTCCTATAAGATCTTCCAAAGTGAGTTTTAAATACTTCTACTGGCTTCTCAGGCACTGCTATGACTTCCTGGATCTGTCATATATATTCATAGTTTACACCCACTCAAATGTGTTTTATCACACATTATGATTTTGCCTTTAGACACCACATTTTTACTAAATCATCATTGCTCTTCTTCCATTTTTTTTTCCATCTGGGGAGGCTTCCCAGTCTAGCTTCATCCTGGCAAGGAAGGGAAACCCTTGAGGGGGGATTCAAGCATACTGGGATGTGTTTCCTCATTGTCCACTCAGCCCAAAAGGTAGCACATCAGCCCCTGAAAGTGCTCACTTTCTATAAAATTTAAAAGATAATATATAATTCAATCACAGTTCCCCACAAGTAGCTTTGTTAATTTGGATAATTTTATTTCATCAATACAAATTAGTCATTCAGTTTATCAATTTGTGAGTATGTGGCAAGTTCAATGTGTGTATGTGTGACTGTGTGTGGGAGGGGTGGATGGGTGTGAGTGTGGGTGTGTAGGGGTGTGTTTTTTGCCCTTTAGTTCCAAAATGATTTAAAACAAACAAACAAACAAAAAACCTATGTGAACCTCCCTGTAACACAAATTCTCAAAGGTCTTATTAATAAAAAACTCAGTCTGATATTGAAGTGAATGCTGAAAGATCAGAGAGACAAAGGAACAAACCACCTCTTACCTCTAGGACTCTTCAGACTGAAAAGCTTTCCTCACCTGAAAGACTTTAGTTCCTGTCTCCTCACACCTTATATACCTTTCTCCTCCCACACAGATCATTTCCTGTCTCAACTTTCCTAGTGCTTGGATTAAAGCCATGTGACTCCCAAGCACTGGGATTCAAGGTGTGTGCCCCTGCTGCCTGGCTGTTTCTCTCCTAGACTGAGTCAATCTCATGTAGTCCAGGGTGGCTTTGAACTTAATAGAGATCTCTGCCTCCCCAGTGCTAGGATTCAAGGTGAATGCCACCACTGCCTGGCTTCTATGTTTAATCTAGTGGCTTGTTCTGTTCTCTGATTTTTAGGCAAATTAATTAGGGTACACAACATATCACCACACCTCCCTTTGTAATAAAATGTGTTTTTACTATAAAAAGCAATACAGAATCCCTGGATTTACAATTAAATCTTTAGTAGGATGAGAATACCAATGGTTTCCAAAGTGAGACATAGATCAGAAATAGATCACAGAAGGTGTACAAAGCACGTGGTTGTGCAGTGGGGGAACGGAATGTTTTTTTCACAGAATTGTGGCAGTTTGGAACAACTTGAGACTTGTGCATAGAGGGCATCGAGAAGAAGCAGAAGTAGAAACTAGAGTGTAATGGCCTCATGCATCAATGCACGTGGAACACACTCCAGGGAGCAGTGATCTAACACAGAAGGTTATAAATCAAAGACAGCAGGAAAATGCTAGAAAAGAAAGAATGGAGAGTTCATTGTCCTTATGTTTTCACCCTCCAGACAAGGGGTGTTAGACTGTTGGATCTTGTATTCTGACATTGCCATGTGTAATACGTTCTAACATCATGGGACACAGGTAGCCATGAGCTATAGACTGGACCCAACAGATCTAGACTTGCCTAAATTTGAGGAGAATTCTGTGTGCAGGTTCTCTGAGTCCAAGCTAATCAGTCTGAATTAGAGGACATTTGAGTCATATCAAGGAGCTTAGATTATATTTATTCTTTCACTACATACCTAAATTTCTGCTTTCTTCATAACAGAACAGTTATCAAAGTCTGAACTATTACAAATAGCTCCTCATTTTATGAGGTGATATTGCGTTCCCCAATATATTGTGTACCCTAACAAACTCATCTGGGGTCAGAGAACAGAACAGCCACTAGATATAGAGGCCAGAAAATGGTGGCACACACACCTTTAATCCTAGCATTCCAAAGGCAGAGATCTGTCTGGATCTCTGAGTTCAAAGCCACACTAGAAACTGCCAGGCATTGTGGAACATGCCTTTAATCCCAGGAAGTGTTGGTAGGAAGCAGAAAGGTATTTAAGGCGTGAAGACCAGGAACTAGAGCCTGTTAAGCTTTCAGGCTTTTAAGCAGAAGTTCAGCTGTGATCCATTCAGATCAGAGGCTTCCAGTTTGAAGAAATGAGATCAGCTGAGGAATTGGCAAGGTGAGGTTAGTTGTGGCTTGTTCTGTCTCTCTGATCTTTCAGTGTTCACCCCAATACCTGGCTTCAGGTTTGTTTTCATTAATAAGACCCTTTAGGATTCGTGCTACATTTTTATATGTAGTGACAGTTCATGCTTGAAATTATCAATTCTTTCATAAGTTTTTCTTTTTCTTAATCTTTCCAGAGAACGCAGTTTAGTAAAAAAAAAAAAAAAACACTTCCATATTCATTTCCAAAATTCCTGTGTCTAGTCAATATTTATTGAGCATATGTAGTATGCTAAGGACTCTTCTGAGCTCTGGGAATAAATAAGTGAACACAGCAAAGCTGGCTTCATGCATTCCTGTGCTTCTGCCTCTGGAGTAGGGAGATTACAGGTCTCTGGCTCTCACATGCCATTTTTTCCCCCGCTTCATCTTGTTTCAAGTAAGCATAGTGCTGTCTACATTCTCTTGGGACACAGCAGGCAAGGTCACACTTGGAAGAAATAGCAGCTGACATTCTATCTGTCTAAACAAGCTCAGGGAATCAACTATCTTAAAAGCATTTAAATATTGAACTACCGCTAATCCTTAACTATGTATCCTTAACTAAATAGAGGGACATAGGAAGTTATTGTGATACATAAACAAGTTTAAAGATACTTCTTTGGAATCCATTTAATAAATAACACCAGATACTCCTCTTCCTAGTGCGTATATGCCCCCCCCTCTCTCTGTCTTTCTGTGTGTGTGTTTGGTGCATGCATGTGTACAACTATGGTGTTTATACATGTCAGTGAATATGCATGCACCATGGGCATTTCAGAGCATTTGGGTTTGTGTACAAGGCAAAGGTTCATTTTGGGTGTCTCACCTCTATTGCTCTCCACCTTTTTTAAAAGCATAATATCTCCCTAAACTTGAAGCTCATTAATTTGTCTGTATTGGCTAGCCAGTGAGCTTCAGGACTTACCTGTCTCCAACCCACAGCGCTAGAGTCACAAAAGGGTATCTCCACACCTGAATTTTTGTGTGACTCTGAAGCCAGCTCCTCATACTTACGCAGCACGCCCATTACTGACTGAGTAATTGCCCTGGCTCTATTTACTTTTAATGCCTATAAGTATATTTAAACAACAAACATCAATTTTAATTGATTAATGATTCATGAAGTTGTAAAATGAAGGGAGCATGGTGGTAGAGGAATGGAAAAATGACAAACAAGTTTTATTTTATTTTTAGTTCTTTTCTAATGTTACTCAGCCTTCTGACCAGACTTCTCCACATTAGAATTATGAATAGGTTCTTACTCATGAATAGGCTTACTGTGCTCCTTGGTCTTATCATATATCTCAAAAGTTCTTTTAACAATAAGCTTGGCTTTCTACAGGATTGTTATAGCATTGTGTTTGAATACTTCATTTAAAGGTGTAGACTTTAAAAAATATTTTCTTAAATGACTCGGCACTTGAAGTGTCTCTTAAATACTACAAAACTCATTCATTTTAGGATACAGTGAGTTAAAGACTTTCTGAGTTTGACTTGAGTAATTTTAATAAAATGAATTTCGCAAGGTTGACTATATTGCTTTTCAACTCTCCAGTTATGGAAACAAATACAACACAGTGTAGCAACAAGAGACATATTTAATTCTTCTAGCCTTTCTCTTCGGGTCTCTATTTATAAGTTTAAAGATGAAATTGGGAGGCATTGGCATGACTCTCGTGGCTTAGTGAAGGAAGCAAAGCTGTGCGTACTCTTCTTGCAAATGGCTATACTAGATATGAATTTTTTCACGCATCTCATGCTTTCAGGAAAGACTTAGAAAATATCTAGGAACCTGGTATTAGACTTCTT